TATGCATGAAATGACCGATGCATGGGGGAAGGGGGGCCGCTAGGGTTAGGAGGACAATGTTTTTTTGCTATTTTCGGTGGTGTAAATATTATATATATATATATTCCATAAAATATATTTGATATACGTAAACGTTGAATTTGGAACCTAGCTATGAATACTTAAAGACTATAACAAGAGGTTAGAAAAAATACGTAGACACGCATGAGTAGTGTCCACGTAAAGACCTAAGAAGTTACAAAGGCAGTCGAACCGAACACTTGCACCTTTCTATTTAATTCAATTAGACTTTGAAATTCTCGAACTCGTATGACCCATACATACACACATATGCATACATACATATACATACGTACATACATACATACATACACACGTACGTACATACACACACATACATGCATGCATGTTTTCCAAGATGTTCTACTGAGTTTGCCTTCCGAGCCTCCCTTCACTCTCTGCTACGGCCCTCGCTTAAGTCTTATCTTCTCTCTAATGCGATTATGCGAGTAAGTAGCTTTTTAAACTTTTGTAAGAAATTTAAACAAGGTATATATATATATATATATATATATATATATATATATATTAATTAAGATTTATGTTTGCGCCTACTACTCCCTATTTTGCGGTTAATATATGAAATCAAACAATCATTACTTCCATATCAGTATTTAGTCCACGCACATTCACTAAACATGGGGTTAATTTTTGCACCCCCCACAGGTCTCACTGCTCTGTCTTGGGTATTTAAGCGTGTACACACACACACACAAATGACTGACTGTAAAAACAGGTGGTGAATCTGCTGGTTTCGACTCGAGGGAAGGATCCTAGGGCATTCACTGCTTCCTACGACAGCGGTGGCCAACTCCGACAAGTGGCAGCCTAATTGCCGGCTTCCACTTCCGGTCCGGTTAAGGTTTCTTCGTGACCTATGTAACCTGCCTTTTATATTTTGGCGGGTCCGGACCAAAAAAAAAAAAGACAGGTCTCGTTCCAAAGAGTTGACCTTTCCCACCACCACAAGGACCACAACTCGATCTTGTAACAAGTGTTGAATTTAAAAGCTTTAACCAATTGATATAGGAAAAACCCAGGAAGCTCCAAACAAGCCTCCACAACAATCTACAGGAAAACACAAAATATAACCTTTCACATGAAACTAAGGCTTGCACCAAGAAGATTCCCCAACATCAACAATAAAAACCCCATAATAAAAGGAATCAGGATTATTTTCCTCAACTTGTCACGAGAGAAGAGAACCACTCTAGAATGATAGAGAGAGAGACCTATGGCTCATCTTACAATCATCTATACAAAGAGAATCAGAAGAACAAGAAACTGGGCGTTGAGCTTGAGGAGGTGGGGGCTTACCTCGCAAGAAGTTGCAGCCATCTGAACTTGTATTCCCGCGACCTGCACCCTCCATAGGCCACAGGGTTTGGAAGACAGACTCAGATGGAGAGACTTCCGACCAGGAAAGGGCTTATAACTATAAACAGAGATAAGTTTAAAGAAACAGAGCAAATGCACACGTGGGTTGACAGCGGTATTTGAGCAGTTCAACAGATTGTATACAACACAAGCACACCTTCAATTCAAACCAGCTAAACTCCTTGCGATGTAGTGTCTGATATGAATATGAACCACAATTAAGAACTTACTCGAATGAATCTCCATACCACGATGGTCATCTTGGTATGATTGGTAGAATATCCTGCGAGTAAATAGCTCCTGAAGAAAGACTATATATCCCACTGTGCAAAAGTGAGGAAGCATTTCGAAAAATCCAATTCATACAAAAAAACAACAGGAACAATGATGATCACTGATGTGCTTTACAAGAACCCAAGCAAAAATCTTGAAGGTTCACATCGTGGTTAACGATCTAACAATGTATATGCAGAGAAAACCGTTCTTGGTTTCACTTTACAGAACCACAACAGCGACAAATCCTACAGTACAATAGACCTGAGTCATTCTAGAATACATAAATTTACAACTGAATCCTGGCTATAAATGGGATGCAAGCAAAAGGTAGAATGACCTGTGAGAGTTAGAGTAGGTTAACCTGGAACTTTCCATTTCTACAAAATCTCCCCATGTCTGAATCCGTTATCCCCAACATCCGTGTTGGAATCCAAACCACAAGGAGAATCATACCATTTAGAATTTTCTTGATAGAAGCTATCAACTTGTATACCAACTAAACCTACATCGGTCACTATACCCTCATCATGTCGCATGGACTTTGTTAGTTTATTATCTTCACAATTAAGAATACTCTTCTCATCAAAGTCATTGCACTTCAGCCATTTCTCAGGCTTACAAGGCTCAGACAAGAGATCCTTAGGGCTTCTACACCCTGGCCGTATCTGTTCCCAAGGTACAACATCATCAAGGCTCCTCCCAAAACTGTCCTCGTCATCTTCAATAAGCTCAGCCTCCTTCACATCCCCATACAACTGTTCATGGTGGTGGTCACTCCAATGTGCTAAAACGTTATCTCCTACAAGAATTTCACCTGAGTGTTGCTTGTCAGAGAGCAAACCCATGGACTTTGCATTCTCATCTCCCAAATTCCGTATTTTGTTTAGAATATCAAACAACTCCCTTGACACTGGACCTAACAACTCTTGTGGAATCTTCCCAAGCTTGCCCTCAAGGGTGCCAAGTTCGTTCCTTAGTTCTTGAACTTGCTGCAAAACAGAGAAATGCATATCCCCATCATCCTTCTCCATTGATCCAACCCCTTCGTTTTCTAATTCCTCCCTCACCCCATAGACAGAATCTTGGTCCATAAAAATTCCTCCTTTATGCCCGATAACCCGATGCATGATTCTCGCATTCCCATCCATCGCCCCCGGCTCATGCCCTGAATGCACAGCATATAACTTAAAGATAGCCATCCCTTCTTCCTGATATACAAAGGTCTTTTCCTTTTCATTGTAGTTAGCAATGGGCACAATAGCCCTAATCCTAAAACCACAACCGCATCTCTTCGATTGATAGGGCTCCCTCTTCAGAATCCTAGACTTCTTCGAGGCGGGCTCTCCAGCCCTATGACAAGCATAATCCTTCACCTCTGCCATAAATGGCTTATACCTAATATACTTCTGCCTAATGCAGAGCACAACCTTATGCTTAGCCGCCAATTGCTGCAGCCTATGGGGAACTTCCTTGGCAGGCACATCAAATGACTCGGTATACTCAAATCTGCGCCGTTTGCTCCTCGAAGCTGAACCAGAGTCAGCATTACAGACAGGACACGCCGCGGAATGCCATAGAACTTAGCACCGACAGTCCACACCTGCTTAATCTTATCTATTGTCTCTCTGAGACCTAGGTGTCTCAAATCGGCATCACCATGAAAGCTCATGACGATATCTTGCCACTGGTTAATGTGGGAGACGAATTGCTGAGAGTTATTCTTAAAGCAGAGAAATTCATTACCGGAAGATGGGTCGAGACGTGCGGTGAGCTTGTCCTGGATCCGTTTCCAAGCCGTGAGAAATGCAGTGTCCTCATTTCGGTCCTTCCAAACAGAGCGCCAAGACTTGAGAACGGACCTAGGCGTGGCCGCGCGGATCTCGACGGGAGCCGGTGCTCGCGGAGACAACGGATCATGAGGGCGTGAGACTCGGCGTTGAAGGTGTAGAACTGGGTCGAAACATGAGGATCGGGGTTGATGAAAGTGACGCCTTCTCGTCCGTGATTCGAAACCCTAGGGTTTGATGCCAGGGAGATTTTGGGGATTCCAGCGGAGGGATGAGAGGCGTCGTCGTTTTCATCGGAAGA